GTAGTCATGCCTATATGAAAATTTGGCTAGGACATAGTTTGACAAACTATTCATAGTTAAATAAATATATATATATATATATATATAATTTGTAATTATAAAATGCCTATTGTTTTTATTTTACAGGTTTATCTCATATTTTTATCATATACAGCTGATGTTGCAGAAATTGTTGATGAGGTTGTGATTAAAATGATATTGTTGTTTATATCTATTTATTTAATTGTTTTGCAGGAATGGATATTCTGTGAATAGTCCAGCCGGATTATCCCCACTGCCACTTTCATCAATTAACAGAGGATATAATACCACAGCCCTTTTACTTAATTCGATGTTGAGTTATGAAACTTGAGACACTTAGCATCTGATGGAGAAGCACAAACTCCTGTAAACCAAACCCAGTGCATTTCGATATTAATTGTACTGAAATATACTTATGGTAATGAAGAGTTAATACAGTATAATCCTTCTTGTATTCTTTCGCATTGACCCTTAAAATTGACTGGTAATTAATATTGTAAATTATTTGTTAATTAGTGAAAACTATTTTTTGTCCTGAAGAAGTTAATAATATGGTAAAACACTAAAAGATCAACAAATAAAGTTTGAAATCTGAAATCACTGTGGTTTTGATCGTTTTTTTTTTTTTTTTTAGTTTTGTACCATGACAGTTACAACGTATTTTAATCCAAATACATGCAACTAAATCGTTTTTTCATTACCTGCAATGTAGCCTCTTTATTTTTACAAATTAAGCAGAATGATTAATTTATTGAAAAATAAATCTGATGGCTATGGAGATCAGAACAATCCACTGTAACTTAGAAATAATACAAGAAAAAAAAAATTGATACTAAAGGGTGAAATATGTGTTGATTAATTTAAGATTAAAATATAAATGTATTGCAAAACAAATGGATGTCATGAAATTAAATAAATTAGGCCTCCTTGTTGGCCAACATACTGTACAATGTAACAATAATTTTTCTCATTAAACAACAATTTATTACTTAGCTTCTCATCAAATGTTAATTAACAAAAACAAAAAAATGACTATTCATTGTTTTTAAATCTCGGAAATACCGTTGTCTTATAAACGCTGATACACTGATACACTGAGACGCTGATACACTGGGACGTTGATACGCTGAGACAAAGATGACGTCATTGAAATTCACTGCAAAGTCATATGCACTGAGTGGAATCGAAAGTGCAGGGTTCTCAAGTACTACTGAACGTCCGTAGTTACTACGGAAATTCGGCCCAATTACGGACCTCCTACCTCAACGAAACTCATACAATAGGTCCTTTATATATTGGAATGATCATATCTTGATGTTGCGTCGAACAACAAGTGGGATTTAAGGAAAAAAAGCAACTTTTATAACCAGATTTAGCCGCTTGTAACCATCGATTGTTTACCTCGAGAAGTGATGTCACAAGGCCATGATACGCTATTTTCGTCTCTACAAAACTTATTAGCAAATGATACGTTCACTAATAATTACCAATATGGCAATGCATTTTGATAAAGTATAAATACGTAACTGTTACAGAGTATTTTTAATCATACAAGTTTCACAAAAAACTGAAGAAGAACTATAAATACTTGAGAGTTTAAAAAATGTGAATGTGGCCTTCCCTATTAAATAAACTACGCCCTCAATTGGACTAACTTTTTTTAAAATATTTTTTAACAACATAACGTATCATACTCCGTTGCTTGAGATTTTAAAGAAAATAAACCACTGCCAATCTTCAGAAATTCAAAGAGAAGATCGGGTTGACAAAACAGTGGCTAGAGGACAGGGGCTGTCGAAGGCCCCTGAACGCTTTGGCTTAAACATAAATTTCAATGGCAGCCAGTCAATGCAAAGAATGTAAACAAAAAATTACAACAGGGGAACCATGATGTTCTGTACAATGTTTTATCAGCTGTGTTGATTAAAAATAGATGTGATTGCTGTTTGTGCTATAAAACAAGACGGCACTTAGATAAAATTATTTGGTACTGGTGAAGTCATAATTTGTCATTTTCTTTCCATTAAATTCTATTTAGTATGAAATAGACCGAATTTAAAGTGAATAACACGA